GCAAAAGACAAAGTAGTAGTTGCCATGTGAAATGAAAAACCTGGACTTTCTCCCTCAATTCTTCTCCTGAAAGAATAAGTAGGTTTTGTTAATTCCTGTACTAATGGCTAAAAAACTTACTGGACTTATGCAAATACTACTTTACTTTCATTTATTAACAGAAGTCGATTACTATTGTTGATGTTACCACGGATTAAAAATTAACATGTATCAAAATGATATCATGAACATGACTCAAAGCAGCAGCCTGGAAAAATATTTTCTAGCAGAATAAAACTATTTGCTACACACGATTTCTTACAAAGGGGTAGGAAGGAGGAGAAACAAAGAAAAGAGAAGAATGAAAGTCACTGTATCTCTGTGAATAATTAGGAACTTGAAGGGAGGAAGTTGGATAGCAAAAATAGAGGAATTTGACTAACATCTGCCATCTTTATTGATGTTAGCTTTTTGGATGGTTAATAAGGATTGAGTGCATTCTGTAGCTAAGCAACTGGAATTGCTGGAATTTATTTAGTTTTCTCTTTTTTTTTTTTTTTTGTTCCCCTATCTCCCCTATCTTTCTTCCCTGAGCATTTTTATATATATCCAACTAGATAAAGTGTAAGTTTGTAAAAGAGAGTCTGTAAACAGAAAGGGATGCTAAATTAATGTATTTCCTTTTATTTGTATTTAGGTGTGGTTGCATTATTAAAGGTTTTACTGATTCTGTGGATCATATTGATATTAAAGGCGTAAATTATGTATTTACATATCTATGACCTATGGGAGTTTTGCAACTAGCTCTAAAACCCACTGAGAAGTGTTTTGTTGTTTATCTATGTAACTCAAATTACTCAGCTATGTAAGTCACATTATTTGTACACCTAACACTTAGCATGTATCCAAATTCTTATCAACTTGGTCTTATCTCCTGTTTGCTGCAGGTAACTGCTTTTGTCCACAATTTCTGCATAAGACCTATCCCTTCTGGTTGAACGAGGCAGTGGCTTTCTACTGTTTCTTTCCTTAAAATTAACAAATCCTTAACAGTAATAAAAATCCTTCCATTAGGGTCTGAACCATTCTTGGTAAAGTGTTTTGGTATTAATTACCTTAATTTAAAACAGGTACTTTCTTTTTGACACTCTTGAATTTAAACTTCAGTCCATTAATCTTGCAACATTCTTGTCTATCACAATAAAATATTCTCCCTTAAACTGACTTAAGCAAACGTAAGTGGTTCACTAAGGAACATAGTGTAACATAGCCTTTTTGTAAACTTTGAAGCTGTTTTCTTGTCTGAGCAATCCCTGGTGCATTTTTTTCAACTCTAGGGGGAAAAATTGTTCCCTGCCATCAACCATTGAGATTTTGGGGTAATTTCCTATATGGTGCTTGAGAGCTACGCTAATGTGTATGCCTCATCTATCCTTTGCTGCTCCTCAGAGAGTAAGTCGCTGTGCATGGCAGCCAAGCCCACAACCTTCTCGGTGGGCTGAAGGTGCAGCTCCAGGAACCGCCAGCAACTCAGCTGAAGGGTGTTGGACACATTGGCTGCCCACCCTTCACTGAGCGGTGAGGCAATCAGCTTTGCTCACCCTGGAAGAGCAACCATGAGGCAAGCTATAGGCCCGAGAAGTCTCCAGCTGACTGACTGTGGCTCAGACATTGGCTCCTGGCCAGCACAACTCTTCAAGGTTGAATTGATTTGACAGCTACTGTAACCACCTTCCTCTAGTATACCCACACAGTGAGTCTCTTCCTTCAAGCTTCCCTTCATTGATGAGCAAACTGTGTTTTTATGCTGATCTTGGCCTCTTTCACTCTTGCAGGGTGCTAAACAAACAAATGTCCAAAGGTCTGGTGCAAGGTATCAGTCAGTAATGACCCCACAATCCTTCAGAGTAACTGCGTACGTGTGCCTCCGAAAGGGAGAAGCCAGGTAAGTTGCTTCCTCTTTCCAACAGTGTTTGGCTATGGTGTTGCGTTGTTTACAACACACTTTTTCACTCAACTGCCACTGCTTTCCTTTGCCACTCTGGGAACATTTGGACACACAACTTACATGACTTTTTTCTTGTGGGGGTTTTTTGGGGTTTGGTTTTTTTTGCTTTTTTTTTTTTTTTTTCCTGATAA